CATCATGACAGCAGCCCGGATCACCGTCCTATAAACTTAACAGCTTCTGCGTGTTAATACATTCGGCATGGGAAATTAAGGTGGACATATTGAAAAAGTTCTTTTCCCCTACAGGAAGAAAAAATAGTTTATCATCCAGGTCAGAAAAATCAATACATTTTGTGTTACAGTATGATTTTAGATGTTGTGATTATAGGCAGTGCCTAGGTCTGGTAGCACAAAGACTTTGCTCTGATTAAACAAATAGTTCAACTTAAAATAGACAACTAATTTGATATGTATACTAAATGAAGTATAACTGGATGGATGGCTCATCATTAAATTTGGTATATACATTAATGTCACACTCAGGATGAACTGTAATCACTTTGCTGATCTTCTGATAGTTCAAAATTTCAATTTGTCGAGTACTTTGGTTTAAAGTACCCCCAAATGTCTACCTAAGGCATTGTGTTCAGGCTCTTTCACGGCTGTCAGAGATAATCTGCTGCCATTCCAGCTGATGTCTTAATGTGCACAGCACATGTGAGTGCTCTGTTTACATTAGGGCTATTTCCAGTGTCTTGGAGGCCACACTGATCAGTAATGAGTAAAAACAAAAAAGTTGTCAGTAACAACACTTAACATTTAAATATGAACAGACTGCTGGAAGAGGTGCTTCTGTATCAAGTGGCTCTGTTGTCCTCTGATCGCCACTTTAACACATCTCAAATTAGTTTTTCTTAATGGTTTGCTTGAGCCTAGTAGGAGCAAAATAATACTGTCTTTGTGCAGCCAGCCTCAGAAATTAACCACCAACAAAGCTACACAGCCAACCAAAAAAGTCCACACAGGTTGTTGTACCATTTACTCCATGTCAAAGGTGTTTCTATTCTGCCACAGAGATTAATTTTATACAACTGAATGAATTTAGACATTTAGACAACAAGAAAGCCGCTTTGCTATTGGTTGAGTATCAATGTGTGTGTGAGTGTGTGTGTGCCTGTCTGTGTGTGTTAACATGGACCAAAGTTGAACTCTTGAGTGACTTCACTCATCATTAAGATTTAGTTTGTTGCAATGTGAGTGTGATCCGGTTAGTTTGAATGGACATGTAATGAGTTTATGGGGAGGCCGGCATTGGTTGCTTCATATGTTAAATGTAGTTTGTAACCTTTTTTGGCTTGTGACCCTTTTTCTTCAACTGCTTCGCTTTTTAACATTTGACACTTTTAATGTATCACATTATACAACCTGTTGTCCTGCTTTGTACAGACTGACTGTAACAGGTCAGTGTGAGGTTGGATTGTATGAGATGCTTCCTACAGCCAGAGACAGAAAGCAGTCATATTAAACACCATGAATGTTTAAGTAATCAATTGTCCAGCGCTGTTGAACCTGACGGACGCAAAGTCAGCCTCTGAATTTGTGGGCCAGATGTGTCAATAAATTTGTAACAAGTGGGTTCTTATGAAATTATCCCTGATATAGATCTTCATGTTGGAAGATAAAATTTACAGATAATAATGACTGGTTGAATGAATAAAACATGAAAAATATAAATGATTACAAAGAGTATATTATATAGGAGAAAGGGTGCATGTGTGGGACTTAAACTCTTAAGTGTTTATAAAATCTGTATGGAAAGCTACATTCAGGTTGACCCAACAGGAAGGTTTCACTTCTGGGGAAACTTTGGATGGGACCAAACGCTTGTTTGGTGGGAATGTTGTGTGCTGAGGTTCTTTATGTAGAGCCTCAAATACTAAAATCCTGCCCATGTTCAAACACATTTGTACATCATAGACATGCTGATTCTGATGGGCTTCACTTTTTATGCCTCCACACCGGCATTAGCTGTGGCCAGAGACATTGGACCTCATTCATGAACTGTTAGTTAATCTGTAAGTAGATTTGCACATAAAAAAACCTACATTGAATTCATGAACCCTGCGGGAAACTCAGAATGCCAGTCAATTGTAAACTGACAGCATGCTTCTGCTGGTCAGCAATTAGCATACATCTTTGCCCATGAATAGCCAGTGACCACCATATAAGGAGGTGAAGCGTACTATGGATTGGTGCATCATGTTGACCTGCAAACAGAGAGAGAGAGAGAGAGAGAGAGAGAAAGAAAAACTTTCTGACAAGACTGAAGCTATTCTAGGTTAAGTGGAGTTTAGAAAAATATTTTATTTTCTTCTGTTAGTAGTGGTGTGACAGGGACAGGTAAATCAAAGGCCTGGAAGGAGGTAAAGGGTACCGTCAGTTAAAATAAAATGGTTGCAAAAAATGGCACACGTTTGTGGCACACAAAAACAACAGCTACAGGAGGAGGCTCTTTCTAGTCACAGCTGCAGACAAGCACGCTGGAGAGACCTCTCTGTCAGGGGAGATGGCGACATGCCTGCACTGGACCAGTCAACAGCAAACTCAGAAGGTATGGCGATGTATGTGTTATATTAAGTGTTAAATCACGATACATTCTGACAGCCATCACAGATAGCTTAGTGTTTGTCAGTGAGTGGAGTTCTCTCCTGATTGATTGAAGTGGGCACGGGATGCCAGGAATGTAGAGAACACTTGTAGCTAAGAAGTCAATTTAAACTACTCATTTGCATTTTTAAGAATCCTAATCTGAAGCCTAAATCTGCTGTTGTCCACTAATAAGCTAAATGTGTTAAATTTCTAATCTTTTGTCATGTTTAACATACATGTTTCAAAGTCATCTGCGTATTGGGAACATACAGGTAGTAATACAAATTAAAACTAATTTCTTATAACAAGCAGCATATATATGCAATCCTTAATTACATAAGCACTTAGAACAGTCAGAAGCTGGTTTAGATTTTCCAGATGAAAAAGGAGGTTGCGCATCAACAGTAATGATACTCAGAGTGCTAAATCCAAAAATCCAATATAATCAAAAATGTAAAAAGGCTCTGAAGAAAGCCATGTGCCAAAACGCATTAGCGTTTGATTTTTTGATGTGAGCCATTAAAAGAAGTCAAACGTGATTGCTTTGTCCGCTTCCTTAACTTTGCAATTTGAGATGTGCTACCATTTTTACATTTTTGATTATACTGGTTTAGATTTTGTTAGCACCCACCGAAAGGTCGGCGCTACTAACATATTAATGAATGCTGAATGCTCACGTTTCATGAATGAGACCCATTAAAACATAATCGGTTTCTATATGTCCATCCCATTCTTGTGAACACGAGATCTCAAGACTGCCTTAATGGAATTTCTTCGAATTTGGCACAAATGTCCACTTGGTCTCAAGGATGAAGTGATTAGAATTTGGTGTTTGAAGGTCAAGGTCACCATGACCTTGCATCCGTCTGATTCTCATAAACGCACTGTCTCAAGAATGCGTTGAGGGAATTTCTTCAGATTTGTCACTCATGTCCACTTGGACTCAGCAATAAACTGATTAGATTTTGGTGGTCCAAGGTCAAAAATCAAGGTCAATGTGACCTCACAAAACATGTTTTTGGCCATACCTCAAGATTTCATTGGCTAATCATGACAAAAATTTACGCAAATGTCTGATAGGATAAAATGATGAGGTGATGGCATTTTACATCGAAAAGGTCAAAGGGCAACTTCACTGTGACAGAAGGGGAGACATAGGCCCTGCGTTCCAAATCGCATACTTCTACTATATACTTTTAGTATGTACTGCAGCTGACCTTAAAAAGTATGTAGTGTAGTATGCAGTATGCATGCAGTATGCATACTATTGGGATACACTACATCCGCCATCACATCGCTCCCTGAACTCCGACCTTCTTGCTCACTTCTGCCGCCGTCCGTAGCGCCACATTTGAATATTTTGTTTTGCTGTACTTCGGAGATGCAGCAAATCTCCTCTCGTCGAGCTCGCCAGAGTCGTGCATACCGTCGTAGGTGCCGGAGAGCTTTGTTACTGTTATGTCGTAATGTATGTTGTTGTTTCTAATAAACTGAAGTGTTCACGTAAACAGTCCCAAACCAATTATTAGTGACCTGTCTATTGAACTAGTCACCAGTAGGCATATTAACCCCCTTCACACACAGCTCTCTGTTGCTGGCAGATGTTTGTTGTTAAATATATTTACAGCTATGCAGCTGCTGGCCCTATATTCTGGCTGCACGTGAAGCAGCCTTACATTCACATTACTTTTATTTGTAGTGTAACATACTTGCACAGTCTTACTACATTACTTAATATGTGTTTGACTTTTACTATTTATATATTTACTAGTCCATACTGCTCATACCTGGCCCATAGTGTATTCATATTTAGTCATATTCATTCATTATTTATACCACAGTTACACCACTGCCTGTACTGGTAGAATCTTCTATATTGTAGTCATAGTTGAACGCTAACATTGATTATACTATAATCACAATAAAGTTGAATGTTGTAACCGTGTTCTTGCAAAACTGTATGATATGTGACAGTATATAATCAGATCATTGCAGTCCTAATATGTAGTGTCTTAGTATCTCAAATTAAATAAACCATGTATGAAAGGAAGTGTGGGCGTTGGTTGTACACGCAGCCCAGTCAGTGCGACGTAACTTCCGCTGTGCAAAGGATTGTGGGTCAGAATGGCCAAAGAAGCATGCTGACATGCATACTGAGAAATATGACCGGATGTAGTAGAACATCCTGGTACTTTTGGCATACTGCATCTGACATACTATGTATTGGGACACACTAATTCTTTTTATGGCATACTGAATAGTATGGTAATATGGGTATTAGAACGCAGAGTTGGTCAAATACAAACCTGGTGACACTAATCTTGGGGCTGCTGATTTTATAGCTCTTCTGTTCTGTGGGTTAAAGATGTGCGTGAAGCATCCTGTTTTAGAATATGTAGCTTGTTTGCAGAAACATCCATATTTAAAGCATTGTCAGCTGTCATGGCTTGATATGAGTCTGGACAGACATGGATGTAAACTGTTACAACCATGAGGTGGAACTTCTAGTTAAAGGTTTTCATTGCACGCACGGATCCACACACTTTGGTTTCTACACACTTTTTATTATAAAAGCAGGTATAATAATAAAATGTGTATACATAAATGACATTTAATTATTCACCCCTAACTAAAGTCAGAGTTCAACTGTTGCTGGTGACGTCTTTGGTTCTGGTCTCGATGTTATCTGCTGAGGGACTCTCTGAGCTGCTCGTACATCTTCTGATCCTGTAGGAGACACAAGCACAGTCATTGTATGTTTGTGGTTTCACACAAACAAAGGTTAATCTGAGCGCCATCAAAGGGATGTAAAGACGGATTTCAGCCCCACCTCTCCCTGAGACATCTCACAACAAACATTAGCTGACTGTTGGACTGATAAACTGGGTGTTACAGGTGAGGAGGCAGAGAGGTCTCTATCTGTCACAGTCTCTACATAAACAGCAAAGCCTATATATATGTTGCTGATGTTTAAGTTAACAGTGGTGTTCTGTAATACTTAAATCATTATTTTCTGACAGTGTGAAGGAATTCAGAGTACAGTGGCCTGAAGTTTAATGTTGCAGTGTTTGGTGTGGGACAAGTCAGACTGGTTCTCCTGGCCACTTGATAGCAGCGTGGTTATGGGACAGTTATCTGATAGACATTAAAGCAAAGAGCTGTCTGCAGTGACAAAAAGTCTGTAATTGTTTAGAATGCTGCCAGAGTATTGCACACATAATGAACCACTGCATTACACTATGAGGTGTTAATGTAAAATAAAACACACAAATTTGTAACTGGAACACAGTGTAAAAGCTGTGCCAGAAGTACCTCAATCTGGCATCAAATGTCTGGTCAGATTTAGAATCTTATTGACTTACTTGACTATTTAGACAAATTAGAAGTTGTTCTTTTGTTTTAACATTTGACTTTAATTACCTACAATAAAATAAAGTAATAATGTACATTTAAGGGATATCAAAGATAACACATTGGTAAAGACTCAAGGTCTGTATGTCCATGCACCTAAGTCTAAAGAAAAAAAAAAGTTTTTCACCAAATTGGCTCATTTAAACCTGGGGTAGGCAGTTTCATTTAGGCATCACAGGGCAAAAATCCCATAATAACCTTTCAACGTATTGTGATTCAAATGGTCTGAGAGAACACCTCCTCTTGGCTCTGTTTTCGGGCTTTAGAAAATTGAGCCTGTGACAAGAAACTTAAGCCAATCACAGGCCATTCATTGATGGAGAGTCCTGCAGATTAAGTTGCTATTCCAGCATCAGCAACAACTGCCTACACTGCAAAGCAACCCAAAAAAGTAAGACGGACTTTTCAGAAAGAGAGTCTGACAATATCGGAGAAACATTTCAGAGATGGAACACTAATTGCTAATTGTTTAACCTTCTGCTAACATGAGGTCAAGGCTCAAGGGTGCAGCTTCAGGTTCACATATTTGTAGCTAACATTAGCTGGAGCCTCAAATCACAGTGGGTCCTCCGCTTCATTTCCTCACTGCTACAGACCGTCTAGCTGGGAGGAGAGTGAGCAGCAGCAGCACTAGAGACTGAGCCCCTGTCAGTAGCCGAAGCAACACAAATCCAGCCATTGCAAACCCCAGCACTGAGGGACTGGACAGCCCTGACTCCCTGCTGGATCAGCAAACTTTCTGTTGCTGCTGTTAGACATGTTAGACCCATTGCTGCAGCTGGCCACCAGCCAGCTGTGACACTGGGTGGTGGGGGGTTTGTACTGGTTGAATTTGAGTTGCTGTAACCACCAACTGAAGGTCTCACCTACTGGTGCTGCAGTCCACAGCGGCTGGGAGTGAGGTGGAAGGACCATAGGGTTTTAGAAGCTAGCTAATTCTTGTGTCATTTGAGGACTGATAACCAGAGACAGAGAGATAATGTCATGGCGACACATATTAAATGTCATGTCAGCTGAGAGAATGCGCTGCAGGCAACTCTACAATGACATAAGATTAATAAATCAACGTAACACTGGGTAACTGTATGAGGCATGTGCATTTGCCCATGGTCACTTGGTGGGAGGGGAACTTTGTACTATTTATTCTGCATGGCATCAACCCCCTCCCCTACCAGGAGAAGAACTGGGCAGTGCAGCACTTGACAAAAACTGCAGGTCATGTGATATGCTCTGGTCTACTTTTACCAAATAAAAAGTCACTTTGGTTCACTAACTATGCAATATCAGGCTGTTAGGCGGTGAGAGTCATCTGTGCCTATGTTTGTGATGATTATTTGACCTTAAAGAAAATGTGGACACTGTCTACCTGGTGTCTCCCTCCCCACACCTTTCTTTCTGTTTATGTCTAGTTTTGGCTACTGTGTTAAAATAAGCTAGCCTAGTTTCAGACCTCTGAGTCACCACTCCCATCTCCAATTTGTTTAGTGATTCAAATACGAACAAATTAAGTTGTAAAACCAAAACTGAGTATGGATGGTTGGTTGTGTAAACACAGTTCTGTTTGCCTGCTTTTTTATGACAGTCAGAAGCCATGGACCAAAATGTAAAATGGGTTGTCACATCATGGCTAAGAAATGGACAGATTTAGTATAGTTCACAGGTCAGACCAAGACCTTAACAAAACAAATAAAACTCTGCTGATGTGTTACAGGATAGCCTGTTGAAATTTTACAATTTCCATATTGTCAAAAGATATTTTCAGGTTTGACATGTCACACCACACTCACTGTGCTCTTTACACTTTCTTACCTTTTTGGACACAGATGGACGAACTTTCTTAAAGGCATCATCAAAGTTGTGTTTGCTCACTTTGATGTCAGTGACAGAGCCGGAGGAGAACGAGTGACCTGTGTGAAACAATGAACGACCTATAAGTTTTCATTGTGTGTTTTTGTTCATGTAATAACCAGGGCTGTAACGGGTCAGTGAACAGTCTATTTTGAACAGACAGTAGTGTGAGTGTCAAAGGCAGACACAGTCCTCTTGCTGGGGACTGAGGTAACATTTTGCTCACTGGCAACTTCGGTAAACTATCTTCATTATAAAAATAAGGAGAATTTCAAACATTTCTGTTCAACACCATACAAACACTAGCATATTTGATGCGTTTGCATTCACTGACCCTACAATGGTGGAGCAACGCCGACACACCTTCCTCAACTTATGGACTGTTTCAATCTTCTAAATAGGTCCCTTTGTATTTCCTGTTGGAATGTTTGCAGATGCAGTAATGGACAGGAAGTAAACAAGAACCAAAGCTGTTGCCTTCACAACAGCAAAGCAATGAAATGGTCTGAGGAAACAACTGTCTCTTTGTTGCTGTTGAAGCTGATCTGGGCCCTGCAGGCAGGTCTTCCAGCTCTGGCCTTTCATTTGTGCTTGCAATAGTGTGACTGATTCGCATGCCAGGCAGTTTATCTGCTAACCTTAGCACATGTTTATGGCACGTGTGAACGTTGGTCCCACATAACCTGCATCTATCTACATGTTGTGTAGTCTGCATGCACCAAACTGTGAAGGTTCAGCATACATACACAAACCATTACAACCGTAGTTTATGGAGTGTTTGTACAGAATTTTTTTTTTTTTTTTTTTTTTTTAAAGATTTTTTTTGGCCATTTTGCCTTTATTGGACAGGACAGGTAAGTGTGAAGGGGGAGAGAGAGAGGGGGGATGACATGCAGCAAAGGGCCACAGGCTGGATTCAAACCCGGGCCGCTGCGGCAACAGCCTTGTACATGGGGTGCCTGCTATGCCACTAAGCCACCAGTGCCCCATACAGAATTTTTTTTAATGTTCCATGTTTTTATAATGGAAATTGTTTACCAGTGGGCAAAATGTTCTCAGTCTCCAACAACAGGATTCTGTCCATCTTTGACACTTGCACTACTGTCTAAAATAAATAAAAAGAAATGGATCCTTATGCTGTGTTTTATCCCACTGTGCCAAACTGGCACTGAACTGTCACTCCAAAAATCTAGGTATAAACTGAACTGTGACTTCGGCGTACCATTACACACAAAGTAATTACTAAACATTCCTTGTTTTAGAGTGCAGCTAAATGGGGCGTCGGTAGCATAGTGAATAGTGCCAGCGCCCCATGTATCGAAGCAATGCCTCGCTGCAGCGCTCGCAGGCTCGACTCCGGCTTGCAACCCTTTGCTGCATGTCAACCCCCACTCTCTCTCTCTCTCACCCCATTTCACTCTGTCCTGTTCATTAAAGGCAAAAAGCCCCAAAAAATAATCTTTAGAATGCAGCTAAATGTGTAAAAATATATCAGAAACAAAATATCCTGCACAATGTTACAAACCAACTCATGTAGACTTTTTCTAAATCTAAAGGGCTGTACTGAGAGATTGGCGTTATATTACAGTTCACTATGAATAAAAAAGAAGACATTGAGATGAAGGAAAGTGAATGTGAGCTGTTTTGTTGTTTTGGTCTTGACTCATTAAAACGTTTTGGTCTTGACTAGAGCGCGAAACTGCCTCGGACTTGAGGGGCTACTTCACCCCTTCTTTCAAAATACATACATGTTATTCCTATGGTGTAAGACAATCCAAAAATATCAGTAAACATAACCACCTCTCTCTCAAATCCAAAAACTGAAGTGCTAAAACTCAAATTTGTGATGTCATAGGGTATAAAGTCTGGAGCTGCTCCATAGACAATAAATGGTGAAAGATGTTTTGAATGACACTGAGAGCACCCAGGGGACTGTTCTGAGTATATGGGTACTGTGGGTATCTGTGGGTATCTGTTTCAGAACTGAGAACACTACAATAAAATAAAACTCATTTGGGTAGCAAACTTTTACCACTCATTGACTATGGAGCAGCCCCACAGACATCACAAGTTTGAAACTTACTCCTCTGTTTTCTAGCTTTGAGAGAGAGTAGCTCATGTTCACAAATATTGATTGAAATTTCCGCGGGCATGGAAATAACAGTGGAATTCTGTAAACATTTCTGACACTAGATTTAATTGAAGTCAACCCAACCCAACCCCACCCCCCCCCCCCCCCATGCAGGTCCAGGTATATACCAAAATTATTGTTAATAATATGCAAATCTGAAAAGTAAAACAAATTAGTGCCTCACATTATGTAAATAAACCATTAATTAATTCTGTTTAGGTACACTTACACCATGTTCACTCCCACATGTCAAACTATAACACTACCAGAAGTTACAAGTAAAGAGAAACCATGGGAATCTTTCCAATTACTAATTCCAGTCCCATGTAGGATTACAGTTTCATCTTTAAATAGTAAATAGTGTACAGGAATGCAGAGGGAGGAGTCAAGTTACCAGGAGAAGAAGCTGAGGAATGCTGGGACTTCATGTAGGCCCTCAGGGCGTTCACAGATGCTTCTCTCACTAATGCAGTCAGATCAGCTCCACTGGATCAAACAAACACACATACACACACACTTAGAGTAAATATGGATCAGATTTCATTCACGTCATCAGATTCATGGATCAGTGGTTCTACATTTAGTCAGTATCACAGTCAGCAAGACAATGGAATATGGACCAAAACCAGGACAAACAGTATGAATCAGTTTAGCAAGCATCTGAGGACAGCTGCTGTTTCAAGGTGGGACTTACGTGAAGCAGTCACAGCGCTCGTCGAAGGCGATCTCTTTAAGACAGACATCCTGCTCCAGCTGAGGTCTGGTCCCTCCCTGCAGAAGATCAACAGCTATTTCATCTCTGAGCATCCAAACATGATCTCAGATGTGGTTAGCCTAGCTTAGCACAAAGACTGGAGGCAGGAGGAAACTGGTAGCACAGCCTTTTCAAAAGTGAAATCAACTATGAATTTACCCGCAGGTGCACAGGTGTGTTGGATTTTAGAGTTGTTTTTCTGGTAGCACTATTTTAGGATTGACCACTGCATGATTTATCAGTTTCTGACCCAAAAGACCTCCTTTTGTCAAGAAACAACAAAGATGACAGTAGAACACACATGATGCTAACAGCTACAGGATCAGGTCAAAGAGTTATGAGTTTGCTGAGAAGAAAGACGGTCTTTCCCTTCCAAATATTACAAAACAATTTTCAGCAGGTGCACTAAACATCTGTAATCATCACAGCAAAGTGGAAAGAAATGTAGTGCCAAACATCATGCGGTATTCCACTGAAAGCTATAATAGTTGACAGTGAATTGAGTAAGTCTAAATCGATCCATGGATAGACTTGTATCAACAAATAAAACCTGGTTCAATGTGGTAGAAGAACCTTTGTCAAAAGAACCTTACACATTCATAAAATGGCTGAGTGTATGATTCAGTTTTTATTACCAAACAGATGGATGCTAGATTTAAAAAAAAAAAAAAAAAAAAGATAAAAATGGAAAGGTACAATATGATGATTATGTCACTGGAGAAATACTAAAAAAATGTCAGGACCAGCGTGAATGGAAAACCAGCATGAGTCAACACAGCAGAACTATTTTAGGTTCTTACATTGAGAAATCCATAACGAAAGGGAAGATTTGATAAGATATGCTCTGGCATTTTTAAGGTTTTTTTTTACTGGGATAAAATCAGACCCAGGTCACAGAAATTTATTTATGTAGTACAATGGACTACAAATGTTAAAAAGGAAAAACACAACTCATATAAAACAAGAAAGGGTAAAAGAAAGGGAATATTACATTATAGTTGGTGGAATGGGAAAACGTAAATAAACAACCATGGAAAGCACATCTGGTTTATACTGGAGAGAACTTAGGATGAAGAATGCAAGGTTCTTTAAAATGCTGGCACATAAGACATCTCTAGGGAAGGACACTTCATGTTGGAGAACCTATCTATCATGAAATGCTAATCATAATCATGGATTCTAGCACTGACTACTGCTTCCACAACCTTGGAGAGAAATCATGTGGGTTATGGAAGAAGTACTGAAAGTACCAGTGTCATTCTGCTTTTAGACACACTATTAACTGCACTATATTACACTACACTTCACCCACTATTAATTATATACATGTTATATATATTCTGAAACAGTGCCACCAGTACTGCTCTGCTCATTTATGAAAAGCTAGAGCTTTAAGAAGATGCAGTTGTCTGCTGTGAGAGGCAGGGTCAACATGGCATTTCATGTGTACCTGTACTGCTTTTCCAATTAAAAAAAAAAATAGAAAAAAATGAAACCCATCTAGCAACATAACATTATATTATGAGTCATTTGACTTTTATCCATCTACTGTGGGTCCCATGCGTATATCTCTGGTGAACATTTACCTTGGTTATTGTGAGCAGGATGGCATGGCGGTCTGCTGGAGGCGGCAGACCCACATACAAGGTTTTATCCAGGCGACCTGGCCTCAGTATGGCAGGGTCAATGATATCTGGCAAGACACAAGACAGTCATTTAGTGTTTAGAACAACAACAAAAAATGAATTTAGTTTAAAATTCTTGTTACAGATTGAAAAACAGTGGTGAAAAAGTATTAAGATCTTATACTTGTGTAAAAAAATGCTACATTACAAGTAAAAGTCCTGCATTTAAAATTCTGCTAATGTAAAAGTACATATTTGACCTCTTTGGGTCTTGCACACTTTAGGAGGACCAAGTACAAACAACACTACACAAACGTCAGAGGTTTACGACCACTGGTTCAATCTAAGAAATTAACAATGTATTATGATTTATTAGTTTTTGTTGATAAGGCCTAATCTGAACAGTAACTAGTAACAACATCCGAGGGATAAATGTGGTGCAGTAATAAGTACAATATTTCCCTTTAAAATGGAGTGGATTGAAGTATAAAGTAGCACAAAATGGAAATATGCACATTCAAATACACCACACACTACTGTACGTAAAGGGATAGTGCACCCAAAAATGAAAATTCAGCCATTATCTACTCACCCATATGCCGATGGAGGCCCTGGTGAAGTTTTAGAGTCCTCACATACCTTGAGGAGATCAGAGGGAGGAGCGGCTAGCAAACCTAATGGCAGACAGCGCCCCAGAATAACGTCCAAGAACACAAAATTGAATCCACAAAGTATCTCCATACTGCTTGTTTGGAAAAACGTCATATGAACTCTGTTTTTAGCCTCACTGTAGCCTGTAGCTCTGACTGCTTCTCTGTGCTCCGCGTTCACGTGTGCGCGCATGCGCGAGACCAGCGAAAGCATGAGCTTTGCTCACCCGTGTTTACATCACGTGACACGTGCACCGCAGGGGGAGACAACAGTAACCACAGAGCTAAAAGATAATTTGCACTACGGTCTTTTAGCAAAGGACAGCCCAACATGTCTGAAGACTTTGAAATTGAGGAGGAACAGCATTTCTTTGTTGAGCCGTATTTGTTTGAGCCCAAGTATACGGACGCGGAACTCAGGCTACTGGACGAAGCAGCAGCCGCAGATCATGAGCCTCAGCCAGCCGCAGAATACCGGAGTCGAGCACTGGAAACCTGGTGGTGTAGTTGTTTCAAATGCAAAGCAATGCCAACGGATGAGGAAAGTCTTTGCTGCTCAGACTGGGAATTGGCGATGCCTGCACTTGAGAATCTGGACATCAGTACTGACGAGACTGCTGCTCTTCAGAGATCACCGATCACCCTGAGCGCGCGCACACGTGAACGCGGAGCACAGAGAAGCAGTTAGAGCTACAGGCTACAGTGAGGCTAAAAACAGAGTTCATATGACGTTTTTCCAAACAACTTTTTATGTCGGGGCTGCAGCACACTTGGATCACTACGGATGAGCAGTATGGAGATACTTTGTGGATTCAATTTTGTGTTCTTGGACGTTAGTCTGGGGTGCTGTCTGCCATTAGGTATGCTAGCCGCTCCACCCGCTGATCTCCACAAGGGATGTGAGGACTCTAAAACTTCACCAGGGCCTCCATCAGCATATGGGTGAGTAGATAATGGCTGAATTTTCATTTTTGGGTGCACTATCCCTTTAAGTGCAGTATTTGAGTAAATGTACTTAGTGACATTCCACCACTGGTGAAAACTGCCCTAAAAATGCATTTCTTCCAGCTGTCCTTTCTTTCTAATGAACAGAGAAGCTGGGACCATCCGAGCTTGGTTTAGTCTGCAGCTCTGACTGGATCTGGATTTGGATGTATACCTGGTCTGTTGGTTGCAGCCATGATGAAGACCTGCCGCCGTGTCTCTAAGCCGTCCATCTCTGTGAGCAGCTGGTTGACCACCCGCACACTGGCTCCTGACTGAACACACACAAACACTGCTCATACACATACGTTACCAGATCACACACAAAAAAAAAACAAGCTGTCAAGAGGAGTAACACAGTAAATCACATGTAGAAATCAATGACTGGGTTGCTCTCATAGCTTGACATGGCACCAGTCTCGAGTCTGCCGTTTTGGCACTTCTGGTCCAAGTTTTTAGAAAAATGTATTAACATTAATCTGCTGTCTGTTGTAACAGTATGAGAAAAGTTTCAGAGTACAGAATTGTAAACCTGAAGAATCCAGTCAAAGTTAAGCCAGAGATTTACACCCCTACAAAAATGCCCATTCAATATACAGCATGTATGTAATGCAGCATTTAAGACTCCTCATTCTTTGGTTTGAAGAACAAATGATAAATAAAAAAACAGGAGATAAGTGGTGAAGATGATGACATTTGGTTTCGTGGTCACATTTCCACTGAGATAAATACATGTTTAACATTTTTTTTAAGAGCCTTTACTGTTTGGGGATGTAACGATCATAAAACTCATGGTACAATATTATCATGATAAAAAGTCCACACTAGAAAGTCCACGGTATTTATCATGATATTAAAAACAGAAAAAAAAGAAATATGATGACTTAAAAACTTCCATTATTAAATAAAAAAAATTCTTCTCCGTTTTCTCCATGTTCTATTTGGGTCTGAGCCTGTCTGTTTTTTTGACTGAGAGATGATTGCGCCATCTGCTGTTCAAACAAAAACAATACAATCAGGGCTTGACATTAAGCTTTTTAAAAAAAATAGTCAACAGGGATTCGGACAATTCTTATAAATTTTTAACGCACAAACATACAATTAACATGTAACAACTACACAGTTGGGACAACTCCATCTTAAATGTCATTTTTACACCTGTTTTGCCTTGCACTGCCACACCGTCAGAAACACAGCCTCTGATTGGTCAACAGACTCAATCCAGACATCATAGATGGCTAACAACACCAGTAACCGTTTCCAACACAGAAATATTGATAAATGATCATAGAACACATTCAGTGTGAATTAACAAAGTTTACCAAACAACAGCACAGTTCAGGGATGGATTACAAAGCTCTCAATGGGACATGATCGCACCAGAGCCCTCGTTGGAACAGCAGGATGGTTAACATTAGCTTCTGGCCAAAAGTAAAGCAATTCTCTTCCTTGCATCGTGCCAGAGATAAATAGTAACACTGTCATATACGACATTGTTGACCCCAAAGTAAACGTTTGTAGTGTCCAGTCCAGATTTTTCTCATCTGTCCTGTTTAACACTTGGTGGTGATACAGTCTGGCACATGCAGCTCAGCTGGAAAAGCTTCGCTTTAGCAATTCGGTATGCAGTTTATTTTCAGATAACGTTATGTTAGCCTTGCCCAATCAGACAAGTGCATGAGACATTCCACTTCCCCGAACACCGCATTTACTTGCCCCTGGCAAGCATTTATGTCAATCCCTGACAATTTTTAATAGGGAGATATTAGACCACAGTTATACTAGTGAAATAAAAATATAATATCGTGATTTTTGTCACAATCTGACAACAGTATAAGGAATTATATATTATAATATTGCAAAATTTGATATATTGTTACATCCCTTGTGCACCTATGTATTGTGATTGATTGTTAAGGGCATTACTTAACCTAAAACACCTGAATACGTCATTTGCGATTACAAGTTGTTCAAAAAATAGCACTTTCCTTCTCATCAAGGTGGCTGTGCATCAACTCTCCACAAAGAAAAGGAAGGAATCTTAGTTACTTCCTGTAAACCCCACAGCTCCGCAGCTGCTGCTCCTGGTCAGAATCTGAATCTGATGTTTGGAACATGATACTCATGGATTCCCTCCTATGTCATGAAGTCCACCCCTCTCACCTCATGGCCTGAGCGGCGAGGACACAGAGCATCAACCTCATCAAAGAAGATGACACATGGAGCAGAGTTGCGTCCTCTCTGAAAGACTTGCCTGACAGCCCGCTCACTCTCTCCAACATACTGCACACACAAACACAAAGATTCATCAATAAATGCAACCAGATGATTTAGCATCAGCCCTCTTCACTCATGGTGTGGTGAATGAGGACAACACTCTTTTATAATATGTAGTGTGAGGATATGGAGAGAGCAACACAAACTGAGCAAATCATCAGGATGCCAGCAGAACAAACTGAATGAGCCTCTCAGAGATGTGGTTAAAGGTTAATAAGCGACAGTCTGTGGGCTGTATTATGATCCAACACCAAAACAATGCAACACTGCCCAGGCAGTCTCTGCGACATCAACATGTTCCTGCAGCTCAGTGGCTCACCATGTTGAGCAGCTCTGGACCTTTGACAGAGATGAAGTTGAGGCCTGACTCATTGGCCACTGCCTGTCAGGAGACAACAAACAGTGAGACACAGTGAGACAATGACTAGCCTTGCTGTCTCTGTAGAAACAAAATGTTTATGAACACAGTACCAACATATGTAACCTGTGATGCATGAATGATACTTGATTTTGTGTCAAAATACTTCAGAGTTCTCATCAAAGAACTAACTGGTGCAGAAAGCTACATAAAAAATCTGCAGGGTAACTTTGGTATTTTCCAAACTGGACCCTATCTTCCCATGTTTTTGTGTCTAGTGCCTGAAGGGAGCAGCAGTTTTTGAAAAACTGTTGTTCCCATTAGTCACTTAGACACAAAAACATGGGAAAATAGGGTCCAGGTTCACAACACAAAAATTACCCTTCAAGTCCTCTTTTCAACTCTCTGAGGAGTTTTATTAATCACAGTCAAATTTTCAGCCCTAGATCTGATCCTAAGATGACTGATAATGTATATACAGGCCTCAGCTATGTGAATAAAAAAACACACTCTAAAATAACAGAAATATCAATCAGCCATAAGAAATCAGACTAAACTCATCAGGTTCTATTTCGATTACAGATAATTTGGGAAATTTGCGAGAAGTTGACAGAAAAATTACAGAATACCAGATATCATTAAACATTTTCAATGGCACTAGAGGTGTTCAAAGATATCATAGTGCTGTGTTCCTCAGCTAATTATTAGGTATATTGTGGTGGTGCGGTGGGGAACCTTGGCCAGCAGAGTTTTTCCACATCCTGGAGGTCCAGCCAGCAGCACACCAGATGGGGCGCTGAGTCCCAGAGCCTTGAACTGCTCTGGAGAACGCACCGGAGCCTGAGGACACACACACACACATGCCACAGTCAGTACTTGCCAATGACTTGTATCCAGTAATAGGTGGAGAAGGGGCCAGCTCACAGTTTGAGAGGCACGTCTAACATTTCCAGAGAGTGAATATCTTGTACTGTATATTAAAAGGGACAATGTCCTCAGTCATGGAATAACTCAACCATACAATCTACAGATACACTGACAAGCTTTACCTAAAGCTTAAACTCCTGAAAATGATCCTGAATAACATGAGCACACAAAGGAGAGTTCTCTTCCCCATACCTTGCCCTTGCAAGACCCAAAGGGGGGTCAGCTGAGTCTCATATATGACAGAATGGGTCATGCCAGTTAACAAGTAGGGCTGTCGCATTCATTTCACTTGTTCATTGTTAAATCTGTACTCATTTGAAAGGTTAGAGTAAATGATTTTTTTAACTCCTCCAACACAGAATTTGACAGATTTGAACTAAATTACACCTACTTACTTTTATAACTGTGCAATAATTTTGTGGCCTGTGCAACTAAACTTTCAACCTCTGCTAACAAACAGCCCTGCTATTTATTTTGCATATTTTTTCATTTCCATGTTTTGCAGCTGTATATTTTCAAATGGGAGGAAACGCTTTTTCTGCATTTTATTTTTGATCATAGTCTGTTTTAATTTAAGTGCTTATGAAATGTCACATGTGGCTTTGACCTACAACTGAACATTTAGTCCTGTACTTAGAAAATAACAAGATATATACTTTGTAATGCTATTCAGCCTAAAAATACTGAGATATGATTTTTGGTCTGTTCGGTTTGGGCCCTAGTCTGGATCATGGATGTTAAACCTGAAGAAGCCTGATGTGTTTACCAGTATGGCCATGGTGAGATCCTCTCTGATGTCCTGCAGGGCTCCCACGTCCTCCCACGTGACATCTGGCACGGTGGCGAAGCCCTCCCTCTTGGCTGAGGGCTGGACACTGGCTAGAGAGGCCTTGAAGTCTGACATGAGGATGGACAGGCCGGCCAGCTCTTCCTCTGACAGCGTCTCCGTGTTCTTCAGCAGTTGCAGCAGGTGCCACAGCTCCCCCTGCTGGATACAGAACACAGCTCATTAGAATAACACAGAGAAGCGGGAAATAAAACCCTGCTTATGTGATTTCAAGGCCCCACCCCAAAAATTAAAAACACAGAAAAGGCAATTGCTGTCACTCTCAAACTGATAACCAGGTAGTGACACTACATTATTCATATTTTCTGATGGGATTAAAAGTTCACTAATGTTTGGAAAACAACAGAGCATCAAACCTACTTAATCATGTATGATCAATGATAGGTCCAACTCTTCAGTTCCACATGTGAATATTTCTGTAACTCATATGCAAAAGTCCTTATTTTGGGTATTTTTTTGTTTCAACAAAAAAAGATTAGTTTTTTTTTTTAAAAACTCATTTTAACACAGATTTTACGTTCCCATCTTGGCAGACATCCAATAGTAGTTGTTTTTCCAGCTGCAAGATGACACTGTTGTTCACTACAGTTGATAGAAAATGAGTTTTTCTGAGATGAGGCTCAGAAGAACACACATCATGCTATGACAGTTGTCATTTGCCATCTTGTACATAGTCACATTGGGTAGAATTAGTGAGATGTATTGCTGGTGCTCCTCATACCTCCACGTGATTCTGCCCCGACTCTTCCTGAGGTTCTGGGTTTATATCTGTTGGCTGCTGCTCTCTGACCTCTCCCTCCATCATAACAGTCTCAGTCTGAACACTGTTTGTTAATAGCTCTGTACTAGAGCTCTGGCTCTGTCCTCTTAATTCCAGCAGAACCCTGTTGACAGCACTCATGGCAGCTTCTCGGCACAGAGCCATGAGATCTGCGCCCACGTAGCCTGGGGTGAGCCGGGCCAGCTGCTGGTAGTCAAAGTCTTCCGGCAGCTTGAGCTTTCGACACAATGTCTTCAAGATCCTGACAAAGCACAAAGCATTCTGTTTTAAACTGTGACAGTATCAACAGATGTCAGACTGTGATCAGCTGGCAACTGCCTAAATCCTAACAACGTGCAAATATCCTTGTGATTGCTTCAAAGAAGGAAGAATCTACTGCATGACTTGGATGCAAATCAAGGAGATCAAAAGACAAAGTCATACTACATAAAAATGAAATATTAGAAACTAGAAACGTTCCCCAGCTAGAAGAGCTAGACATCAAAGGTGGGAGGAAATCCATATATGGGATCCATATATGTAGCTATGACAATTTCAGCAAGTAAAGCCCAAAAACTAGTAGTATTTTTTAAAAATCATCTTTATCACGACTACAATATTTAACATCATCGTGAAGATTCTCATTCCTCTATAATCATGCACAGCTGACCTGAGACGAGCTGCTTCATCAGGGATACCCAGGCAGATTTCTCTGTCAAAGCGTCCCGCTCTGCGGAGGGCCGGGTCCAGGGAGTCCGGCCTGTTAGTGGCACCGATGACCAGGACCTGAGCCATCACTGTCAAACTGTTCAAATCTGTCAGGAGGCAAGCACCAGTTAAATGTCATTTCACACGTGGAAGTCCAGTAATGGGATGCTCACATCAGGTATCTTTCTTCTGACTTTCTAAGTACTGACATCACTTCCTATATAAGCCAGGTGTCTGACTGATGGACATTGTAAACAAAACCAAAGCAGACATTCCTGCACTTTCCCATTAATAGTAGGGACTCTTATTTATTTGGTTTATGTATAACCTGCAAACAAGTGGGCACTTACTGCAATAAACTAAACTGAGTGACACTTTTTTCTGGCATGTGACATTTGTCTTGCATTTTTTAATAATTTCATGTCTCATGTAGATTGACAATTTGATCCTTTTTCCAAAACTGTAGACTGAACTCCTTCTTGCTAAGTAGCTTTAGTTAAAACAGATTTCTCCCTAAAATAGTTTTGCTGTAATTCAACTTCTTACATTGTGTGAAGTAATTTGTAGCTTGCAAAGCTATGCTTTTAAAGTAGCTTCCCAAACGCTGTAATAATCAAAATGAAGTAAATTCAAGTACAGCAGGACAGGAACTTATGTGACTGTGACTGATTGTGATTGTGTGGAAGGGTCTCTGTCAGGTCACGTGTCACATTCAACTTTTCATCAACTTTATAAAGTTCATATCCATGCATACTGCACAACTCAACAGTAAGTAGTGCTCCACTTGGTCCATTAATAGGTCCTCTTTTGACTGGTCATTGCCTGGTGACAGTTACTCAACAGCTGAAACATCGCCTTGACTTTATCATGACTCTGCTTGTTTCAGTAAGTATGACATTTCCTTAGGCCAATCACATCACTCTGTAGGCAGAGTTTCCTACCGTCCATGCAGGTTAACAGCTGGGCTACAATCCTCCTCTCCATGTCTTTAGAAGCAACCTCTCTCTTGGGCGTGATGGCATCTATCTCATCTATGAACAGGATACACGGGGCAGAGCTCTGCAGGGGGAAAGAAAGAGATTAAGACATAGTATATATGTCATACATCTCAATTACCAGTTACACTGTGTCAGCAGTACGAGAGGAACATCACTTGGGCATATGGTCACATGTGCTTACTATTCTTCCTCCACATTGATTTTAAACTAAAATTAAAGCTGTGAAACATGGATGCTTCACAGCCACTGCCCCCCAGCAGCACAGAAGATCGATACAAACAGCACAGCTTCAAGGTGGACATCCAAGATTAGCCTCACCAATTAAGTATCTGACCAAATGTCTTCCCCTTCTGTTCCTGAGATATGACATTAAATTATGGCCAGAAAAGTCTTTCGTGCAGAACATTATGATGTCACAGTGAAGTTAACCTTTGACCTTTTGGATATGAAATGTCATTAATTCATCATTTTATCCTATTAAATATTTGTGTGAAGCTTTGTCATAATTAGCACAGAATGAGTTATGGCCAAAAGCATATTTTGTAAGCTCACAGTGACCTTGACCTTTGACCACAAAATTCTAATCAGTTTATTCTTCAGTTGACGTTTAAATGTATGTTTTTGTCAAATTTAAAGAAATGTCCTTAAGGTGTTCCTGGGATATCATCTTTACACGGATGAGACGGATGCAAGGTCACACTGATCTTGACCTTTGATCACCAAATCTAATCAGTTCATCGTTGAGTCCAAGTAGACTTTTGTGCCAAATTTGAAGAAATTCTCATGAGGTGTTCTTGAGATATCCTGTTCACAAGGATGGGACGGACAGATGGATGGACTGACAGACAACCCAAAAACATAATGCCTCCAGCCAGGGCCATCTCAGGCGCAGAGGCATAAAAAAGTCCATTACTAACCACAGCCAGGTCAAACAGCTCTCTGAGCTTCTGTTCAGACTCTCCAGACACTCCTGACACCAGCTCCGGAGCAGACACCTTCAGCATGGGCAGCTCCAGCTCCTGAAGGAAAAAAGAAAATAAATAAATAAATAAATCGCATCATTTTATTTCACAAGCACACAAACAACAGCTTAAAGAGCAGCAGTTTAAGTGTTTAATGTGTCGACCAAAACTACAAAGCTGTTTCAAGAAGACAAAACTCTTGCAACCAAAATCTGACTTTAAGCGATTAAGTCTCAGTTTAGTGAAGCACATAACACAAGTTAGGGAATTCATTTGACCTAATGCTAACTGCGTAGTACCCCAGCTCTTTATATTACAGATATACCACAACAATGTAATAAAACCAATAATAGCCAGCCAGTATGGCTCACAGACATGTAATGTAGCCACATCCTGCAGTTTGTGGAGAAGATGTGTCTTCTTGATGAGCTCAATAAACTTGGTTTTTTGGATGTGTTGCAATCTGAGATCAAGGATTTGAAGGATATGAACATCCTTTGTAGACGCGGATGCTTCTTCAGCCCTGGTGTTGTTTAGTACTCACCCCGGCCACAGCCTGGGCCAGCAGGGTCTTTCCACAGCCAGGAGGTCCATGGAGGAGAAAGCCCCTTGGAGGAACCATTCCCAGCTGCTGGTACACCTCTGGGTGTCGCATGTGGATCAGTAGCTTACACACGTCCTGCAACAAAGTCAAGTAAGTGCAAGTGAAAACTACCATACAAATGGATAATATAACAAACACTCGTCTATGTAAGACTGAAAAACAGTGAGTTTGGTTACTGCAGCCAACCCCATTTTACGACAGATGAACATTTAAACAGTAAAACAAAGCAGCAAATTTAGAGGTACTGACCGTCAACGTCTCTTCATTACCTCCTACATCTTCAAACTTCAGTGTGGGATACTGCAGCTCTAGTGACTTTGACTTTGCTGAAAAATCATTTATACAGAAAAAAAATATTTAGAATACAGCTGCCATCACAGTGGACTGAGGTATGTTATTAGTATCTGTCATTTTTGCTAATGAATCGATGACACAATCATCAATTTGATAACATTAATAAACATTACACAATAAACAAAATAACAAATAATCAATTATGAAAGTTACTGTAGATTGGAGCCCCACAGGTAATGATTGATGAGCTCAATATGAATTACCATTGTGGTGTTCAATACAAGGATAAGATTCTGACAGGTGGTACCTTTTTTATTCAGGGTGCGAGACTCTGTAGTTTCAGCAGAGCCCTTTGTCCTTTTCTTTGTCTTTTTGGGATATTTCTCAGGCTCCAGCATGGATACATCAGTCTGCTGGGGACACAAAGAAATATCAGTTTGCAGGGGATACTGGCCAAAATGTTTATTTATGTTGTGTTTTTATGCTAAACAAATATTGTTATTGGATTTTTTGTTTTTTAAATATCCGAATCAGCCACAAAAATCTATTATAGGTTGGGATCTAACAGGCAGTATTCCATCCTCACAGCTTACTCCCTTGTGACAAAACAACTCGCATCTGTTAAGACTTAGATGTTATTACCTACTTAGCTAAATGTCAGCATCTTAACTGTCCTGTGTCTTTTAGTACACAGACATGCCCTCCACTGGAACGTACATTTGTTGCTGTATTCGTTGGCTCCTCTTCACACAGGTCGATGAAGATGTTGCTCTTCTCAGGGCCTCTGCCTCTATCAATGAACCAGCCTCCTGTGGAAACCAGTGTCCCTGCGCTGGGAGGGAGGCTGGCTGCGCTGGGAGGAACGCTGGCAGCAGACTGATCTCTCCTGGGTGACGACGTGTTGGAGTCAGGCTGTCCCTTCCGGTAGAGAGATGTAAGAGAGCTGTTCATATGGTTGGTGGGCTGTGGATGGTAAAATGCAGCAACAATAAATGGTTAGATCTCACTACCAAGAGGGCTGTGTACATCACTTGAAGTAGCAGTCCAACATTTGGGAAATGTGCTTTTCTTATGGTGTATAAGTCGATAGTGTTCTTCTCTAGAGTGTTCTAAACCTGAGAAAACACACCACTAATTCTCTGCTTCATTGTTTCATAACTTAAAGGGGCTCTTTACAACTAGAAAGAACTGTGAATTTATTTAAAAGGCTCTTGAAACAGGCACTGAATGTGCTGTTCCTCCCAGGGTCAAACCCAAATATGATAGTTCACATTCATCATCCTCGGGACCCTGCCTGATATTACGTTTACCACAGGGTTGTGTTAAATCCTATATGTCTGTTTGTTTTCCTGTTGGCAAGATATCTCAAAAATTACTTTCAGTTATATTTGGTGGAAAGTTGGACAGTGTACCGAGGAACAGGTAATTACTTTAAGGTGTGGTAAGGGCATCCATGCAGCTATTTATAAAGCACTTTAAAAAGCCTCTTAATACCACATTGAGAAGTTGTATTTCACCGACATCTTCAGGTTGAGATTTACAAGTTTGTTGCTCTGGTACACCTGTAACCACACTCAGTGTACTGGAACACCTTGGAGTGTACTTCTACATTACTGCAGCAAGGTAAGTTGTTAAAGGGTCAGTTTGGTTGTTCATAAACTTCAACCTTATTTTCCCACATTTTTGTGTCTAAATGACTAATGGCAACAACAATTTTTGAAATCAGTTCAGTATTGAGTGAGAGCACTACAGACAGCAGCAGCAAAACAGGCTGCAATCTAATCTCTGTGGGAAACTGAGCACCATCACTTTGAGTCCACTGAAAGTGCTTGTTTTGCTGAATGGCTGAGATTGATATTCTCAGTATATGTCAACATAATGGAAAGGATCCCTACGTAGATAGACCTTTTTGTAAGAGTGAGATCCTTTTGGTTTACCTAGAAACAGCCCTGGAGTCACCACTGCCAATTTCACCACACTCCATTTAAATAAACAGTAATTTAAACATATAAAGAGTCAGCATATTTTTAATTGAGTGAATTAAGGGCCTAATTATACCAAACCAGAGTTGGTGATTGTTGGATGAACCAAGATGGAGTTTGTGAGTTTTACTTTATTTCAGTCCATTTTGAATGAATTGTGTTTCATGATGATAAAATTACCATTTATTTAAATGGAGTCTGGTGGGTTTGGTGATTGTGATTTTGGCGCTGTTTCTGGTTAAACAAAAAAAGATCTTAGTCTTATACAAAAAGTTTTATCACCGTAGGGATCCTTTCCAGTAATCTGAGCCTGTCAGTCGCAAAAACCAGCTATTTTTAATGGACTAAAACTGACATGCCCTGAGCTACATGGTTAGCTACACTTGAATTTTGTCACAATTCATCCTAAATGTTTTGATATTTACAGACATAATCACATTTCCCGTCAGCTTGATGGTCTATCATTGTGTGTATTTTGATGCACTCCTAGAAACAGATACAGATTCATTTTTAAAAACATTATTATTATTTAAATCCCTCATTTAAAAAGGTCTTAGTATTAAATATGTGATTATGCTTAATTATCTACCAACGTGGGTTGAGACAATTAATACAAGCTTCCCCAGTCAAATTTATATGACCAACACGCTTCAACTATATTCAGATTTTCATCAGATTTAAACTTCACATAATTTCTTACAGTGTTCTCCAGAATTTGGTCGTCACTGTCAGAAGACTCCTCTGAGTTGCTGCTGCTGCTGCCTTCACTGTGAACACACAGGAGTGTATGGCATTAGTTGTACATTTAAAACGAGAGTACATCAGAGAGGACTGCTCGGAGCCCCCAAGGTTAAAGACAATCTTGCTGGTTGAAACCATCCAGTAAGCAGAGAGTATGTTTACCCAGTGTCATTGTGGCTGTGCTTGGCCCTCTTAGCCAAGTGTTTGCTCTCTAGATCATTCAGCCCGGACTCCTTTGTGATTGCTTCATACACTGGGAGAAACAGACAGAAAAGACAAATCAGAACTCCTCACAGTTCATATTCCAAAGTTAAGCAAAGAGCCACTTAAGGCTGTGGTTTACAGTGGTATCAGAACAGCTAAAGGGCCTAACTAGATGACGAGACCCTCTGGTGTGTTTGGATTCAGTACCTGAGAGTGCTTGATTTTCTGAAAGTTCCAACACTAACTTAGTAACAGAATGCTTTGTTATGTCCTTCTCTGTGAGTTTTTTCCAAATGTTACTCCAATGAAAATGTTGTTGCTAGTGATAAACTCTGGATCTACGAACAAACACCAGAAGGGTGTACCATAAAGTGATATTAGTGGATTAGCAAGTTATGTTGTGCCTAAATCAGAATTTTCTGTGTCTTTAAAGTAGCTTTCTTTTAACCTGGTCAGATCGCAATGGAAACTCATGCAGCACGGCTAACCTGCCTAGACCAGGTTTGTTCCAAGTTTTGGCCTGAAATTGGCAAAAGTCATTTTCTCTCATTCTCCTCCCTCGGACAGAGCCAGACATGCTGTTTCATTTCCTCAGAGATACAGTTTGTATCAAAGATTATATGTCAATATTTATGATGAGCAGGATTGTGGTGCAGCTGCAGAATGAAATTGAGTTTTTTAAAAACACTGTGTACAGTCTGAACGTATTTTAACAGAATTTCAGTAGCTGTTTTTAAATTTACAACATTTGTTAAAGTAGCTGAAATAAAGTCACTAAACACTGTCGGACCAAAGATTTAAATAGATTCTAAAATTTAAACACACATTTTTGTTCCCCTGTGATTACATGACAAAAAATCCATCATAATGACTAAAACAAAGTCACAGCAATCATCTTCACCTCTGTCCTGTCTGCCCTTATATTAGAAGGAACTCCAGTGGGAATTTACAGTTTAAAATAATTACCCTGAACACATGCAAGCCAGACGACTGTCACAGTGGAATATGGCATCCCTCTCTTACCTCTCTCCACCTGTATCCTGAAAGCTGTCTTGTTTCTCCTGCCATACTCCATTCTAAAGACACAATATAAATCAAATGTTATCATTTTAAATGTGCATAGATACACATCAATATGCATTCATGTCCAGTTTAGTTCAAACAAATCCAACAGCTCTGCAATAACTCTTGCCATCATGGAGGTGCTAATGTTCAGTTTTTGTCCTCACTCTGTTTGAGATGGAAATACTTTTATTAACTCAGTCGGCAGAAAAAATATTGGCATTGTTTGTTTATGTAAACCAGGGATATGTTACATTTGCTTGTTATTATGTAGGGGATAAGTTGAAACTTTACATTTAAGCAATGCTGTGGTTAACATGTGGTTAGGTGTAGGCACAAAAACCTCTTGGTTATGATAGGGAAAAGATCATAGTTTGGCTTAAAATATTTGGTTTTAAAAGGCACAGTCCCTGCTGGACAAGCAGTGATCTCTCTGTAAAAAACAACTGCCTTTCATGGTGCAAACCCAGCTGGAAAAACAGCGACCGGTTACTACAAAACAACCACACTGGAAGCCTAAAAAGCCGCTGGAATCAGTCATTTTGTTGTTTGTTGGCCTTGACCTGTGGTCTGCAGCTTCGCAGGTGCTACACCCAGGTGAGAAATTCAGCTCATATTCTACGTCACTTTCGGAAGCTGATTTGACTCATATGGTTGCAGAAATATACAATGCCAACATTTTTACTAGGCTGCTTCTATACAATTTAATATAATTTTTCATAAACAAACAAAGTGTTCATTATCCAATTTATAAATGATTTCCTGACTGCAGCAGTCAGTGTAGGACAGACCAAAGTAAAGTTAAGCAGAGTCACCACATTTTCTTGGGTCAGAGCCAGAGCAAATCACTGTTTTGACTTCTGATGCACTTACCTGTACTGTTTTTGAAGTTCAAGGGCCATGGCTGACAGGTCCACATACTGACTGGTGCAGGTTGACAAATACTGAAAACAGAGTTCAATGTAAAACACAGACCCAGTCTTTGATTGCATGTCATTTTAACAGGAAAAGTAATGTGGAGACAGCATGAAATTCATGCAAGGAGACGAGTAGACTCTGTCTCCCTCATGATGTCCTCTGATGGCAGGATGGTTACCATACTGTCCTGTAATTTAAGACATATATCTCTGTCTGCTGTTCAGTTACTTTTTCAAATAAACACTGCATATATCCATGCTATTATTGCTTATTACTGATTTTATTTGAAAGGTAACACGTCACATTTTTCATGTCTTGATTGGCACTTTTTTTAAAATTTTGTGGGGAGTGGGCTCAAAAAATTGATGTTTCAGTGTTTGTGTGTGTGTGTGTGTGTGTGTGTGTGTGTGTGTGGAGGGGGGTGCAATACAGTACAGGAGAAACTGCTTATCTGTTTTACTGAATTGTGAGAATATACAAACTTTTATATTTATCCTTATTTGTTAAATTAATACCACCATATAACACACAGCCCCATGAGAATGAGGATATGGATTTGTACCTGCTCCACTCTCTGTCTGAGCCGACCGTCCACATAGCCACCACCTCTGTTCTTCATGTCTGTGCTTCTCTGAGCCTGCAGCAGGACAGAAACATTCAGAGGGAGACTAAAATGAGAAATGTACAAAAATCACAACATGAATTCTACACCTGTTGGACTGTAAAAGACCTGCAGAAAGATTTATCAGACTCTGGAGTGGTGGTGCACTGTTCTACCCTCACAGACCAGGGGTGCCCAAACTTTTGCATGCAACTTTAACTTACAACCCATTTTCTTTAATGCAACCAAATACAACTGCACAACAGCTTAATGGTGAGATAAAAGCAAGGCAGTTGCTTTAATCACATCATTACCAACTCTTCTATGCAGCATAACCAACTCTCAGTGACAAAAATATTTTAAACTCAAGATACACTTACTGGCTTTGTTTAAAGCAGGGTGTCTACGGGTTTATTAGACACTTAAATGTAAGGAAAATTAAAAGATGAATACATTAAATTAGATTTAAAAATGTGGCCATTAACACATCACAAATTCAAATCTAAGACTTTTTTTAATAACTTTTAGGGTCAAATATTTATGAAATTGAACTTCAGACTTTAAATGGACCTGTGACACCCTGCAAAGGTTTCCACACAATCGCTGCGAGCTTGGAAAAAGCTGGTCAATGAATCTTGAGTTGAAAATATCTATGATCACATATGTGTCACAACGGTCAACAGTGAGCCCCGGGTTCAAACCCATAGACAGAAGCTGTGGTCAATGAGCTGTCACACATTTCTGTCACGTGTTGAGAAAAAAGTGGCAGGTTGTTTGTTGGCCTCTCACTAACACTGAACACTTACCTGTGCTTTCAAATCAAATTTGTTCACCACGTAGCCCTAGTTATAGTGTTCTTATGCTAGCAGTTGAGACAAAAACTTCCAAACACTGTGAAAACAGTGACGACGTGAACCCTTACAATATGAAGCAGGGTTAAGGATTATTTCTATTGTCAATCATCAATTTAATGATTTAACACCAATCCTTTTATGAGACAAGTCATGGGCTGTAAAATGTTTTTTTAAAAGTTATCCTCACGTCTGAGAAGCTGAAACCAAACAAATGTAGGGGACTTTAAGAAAATAACTTATGACTGTTTATTAATACCGCCATCTGTTAAACAGGAACAACACCTACATTAATGTTATTTTCATGGTTTAGGAGAGTTGATGAGGTGGCTGTATCACTAGGTAGATGGGTAGGTTATAGAGGAGGGCACAGGTAGGTTACACTCTTCTGTATATTCCAATGGCTTTTTGACTGACTAGAATAAGAGGTAGGTACACCCCTTATACCTTCATATGCCCTCCAATACATCACTGGAATATTTGTGAACCTGGGCTACTGTCTCTCAAAGCCAGAACAGAGAAGTAGGCTTCAAACTTGTGATGTCAAAGGGTATAACATCTGAGGCTGCTGCATAGACAATGAATGGGAGACTGATTAAATACACACAAAGAATGTTTGTCTTCTTTGTTATACCCAAAAGATCTTTACTCTATAGTAGTGATCTCAGTACTGAAACAGAATGTCCCCATATGCTCAGAGCACTCCCCTGGCTGCCCTCAGTATCATCTAGAACATCTTTCACCATTCATTGTCTGCGGAGCAGCTCCAGACTTGATAGCCTGTGACATCACAAATTTCAGTTTTAGCACTCTGGCTTTTGGATTTGGGAGAGTTATTCATTTTTATCAATATTTTTGGACGGTCTTCAGACTAAAAGAATGACATGTATTTATTTTGAAAATTGGCGTAGTTCCCCTTTAATACTCGTGTTACAGAATCATTTTGGGACCACTTGTGGTGTGTTTGCATTTATTGCTAACAGTACGTTAGCTGCGGCTACATGAGGAACATTATTAGCAAGAAAACAAAATGTCACGAGTGTATCGGTAGGACACACTACACCTCATGTTCTTATTAGAAATGACAAACCGTTAGTAAGAGTTAGTAGACATGTAGAGGCACATTTCCCAGTGGCTGAGTGGAAACAGACAGGACTCTGCTCAAACACACACATTCACAGCAGTTTAAATCAAACAAACCAGCCACATTTAACGTGACATGTCACTACTTACCTCAACAAAAACACCACCTCATAGCCCAATGTTACCAATTCTTCTTTGAATCTGACAGTAACCTGTGTTTACAGTCTGGCAGCGTGCGGACTGACCCCGGAAACGAACATGTGTGCAGCCTGTCCTCTTCTTCTTCGAGGTGTAACAGCAGCTTGCTTCCTTAGACACGCATTACTGCCATCATCTGGTGACAGTTACTTCCTACAGTGCCCGCTGTGTCATCAAGCCTCTCTTCAGGAAGCTGACTAAACTCCCGCCCTGTACACACATTCATCTTTTCTATCTCTTACACTGTGTCTTTTCTTTCTGACACATATTTCCTAAAACTAACAAGCTCCGATGCCTGGTACCTGACAATATTCACAAAGACTGACTTTCTGGATGCCTCCATATAATGTAAAGTGTGCTATTCAGATTACTGTGTCCTATTCTAGTCATTATAATGTCTTTTCTATTCCCTCCCGTACTTCTCACAAAACCAGCTCTATTTTGAACAGATAAATGTCACCCCCTTATCTCTTGATCCCAGGACTGTGCTACCCTTTATTGATTTATTCCACACTGTGCCCATTCCTTATAATTTTATAGTTGAAAATAGATATGTTTTCTTTTTATGAGCTTATTTGGCCAGCCAGTCCACTCTCTCATCACCCAGAATGCCCATATGAGCAGGAACCCAAATGAATGTGACCTTAGTGCCTTGTTATATTACTCTTTAGTGTATCTGCTATTACGCAGCTTAAAAAAAATAAGGAAACAATCACACATCAGATCCTGATGAACGAATTATACAAGTTGAAAATCTTTACAGATGTACAGGGCATGACTTGCTGAGAACAAAATGACATAACAATGGTCAATGGAAACCAAAATCATCAACCCACTGAGGGCTGGATTCAAAATCACACTGAAAATCAAAGTAAAAAATTTAAATCACAGGCTGATCCAACTTGCAGGATTTTTTTTTCCTTGCGGCCCTGCAAAGAGTGGTTTGCTCAGCTAAAAATAACATGGGCGATGCAAAAATAAGGCCAGGACAATCATAAAAGATTTATTTATTACTACTATAGTGAAGGAACTGACAACAACACATTTCATTAAAATCACATTTATGATTTCATGTAACAAATGAATTGAACTGAATTGAATTGAACTGAATTATGTTGACTTTGGTGTTCTCTCCCTTTCCAGCAGGCCTGGGTGGTTGGATGACTCTCCATGACCTCCTGTGTTCATCCAGTAGTTGTCTAGGAGCTGTTTTCTGTATAAACACACTGTGGCATGTCTCCTGTCTCAACTTGCAGGGCACACGCAGGTGAAGATCTTCCTGCTCCCAGTCTAAGAGCTCAGACCTGGATCACATTTTATCCTCCACATACAGTTTTTGCTGCAGATTCATGAATTACACTTCCATAATCTAACCCAGTGGTTCAAAACTTTTTCCCCTTTTCTATCATAAAATGAATATATCACTAAGTCGACCACTGACTTAGTGATATATTTTTAATGGATATTTCATATCATATTCGGCACTTAACAATAACACCACAGAGCTGTACTATTGACCCAAACAGTGAATGCAGTTTGTGTAAAATGAACGACTTGTATGAATTTTAAGCAGATTATTTCCTGTGCTTATTTCATCAGAGATAAGGTTCCCTGTTATTTGTATAAACTTTTTATATGATACTCTATGATTAAAAGGCTTATTTTTTTAATTCAGTGTTTTCTTCCCTTCTTATACATACAAATATATATATATATATATATATGTATGTATGTATGTATGTATATATATATATATATATATATATATATATGTATGTGTGTGTATGTATAATGGTAGAGAACAACAGGGCTAAGATTCTGTGGGACTTGAAGTTCCAGACTGACAAGAAGCTGCTAGCTAACCAACCAGACATAGTGGTGGTTGACAAAGGACAGAAGAGAGTGGTCGTAGTACATGTGGCAATCCCAGCAGACAGTAACATAAGGAAGAAAGAGCATTGGGTCTGGGAGCAGCGGTGGTGGCCTCCATCAGTCAGCCTCTTCAGAGACTTGATATCGGACATCAACATACATATTACCCAGCAGTCATCATTACATATTTGTATATGACAGAAACTACCATAGAAAATAAGAAATAATTAGTTTACCAAATAGTTTTTATAGTTAAATCATTGTTTTTTGTTACAGATTGATATTATTGTAAAAGAAACAGAAACCATAATGGAGATGAGTTTGCCATTTTGAGGGTATATATAGAAAATGGCACCAGTTTTTATTTAATGTGATTTTGTCTTTGAACATGGGCTTATTTCCAGGTGGCTATTGTGCTCTCCTCCCTACGGGCCCCAGTGCAACAACACTGCCTTCACTGTCTATATTTACGCCCCTGTCGCTATTACACTGCAGCAGTGTCAAAAGACGTTGTAGTTTTACAGAATGATGTAACCTTTACCTCTTCAGCAACTGTACAGCTCCTAAGGATTTGCCTGAAGAAAATGTTTATAAAACTTTACATTATTATGTTTTATTTTATGTAGGTCAAATTGGTATTTTAATCTCAGGTTTACTTCAAATTAAAACAAAACAAAACAAAACAAAGCAAAAACAAAGGTATTTGTCAGTAAGCTTTGAAGGAGGGAGAAAGAAAAGAGGTGGTGGCAAAGCTGCTCTTACTTTCACTTCCTCGTCAGGTTGTTTGACAGCTGTACTTCCTCATTCTAGTTTGTAGTTTGTCGGTGTGACAGTCATGAAGGACGGCAGCAGACCAGAGGAACAGGCCGAGGTTTCCCGACAGGAGCTGTATGAGGACTATGTGAGCTGTTACCGTCAGCTGTGTCCGGAGGTCCGGCCGTGCCGCGATGAGGGGCTCCTGAAGAAGGCAGCTCAGTATCTGCTGAGAGAACCAGAACCCTCAGGGACATTCACCGTGTTCCCCTTCTACCAGGCTGTGACACAAGACTGTGATTCCCCGAGTACTGACTGCAGGAAACATCTGTCTGCTTTTATTAAAGCCACCGAGCTGCTGGAGACTCTCTGCCTCAATCTCTTTCTTCAACCCTGGAGGAAGGAAATCAAGACACTTAAGGTGGATATCCTTTTTTTTTTTAAAAAAAAAAAAACTCTTTCTTTCTGCCTTACTTTCTCAACTGTCATTTCCTCACAGAGGGGGTAGAACTCATACATGGCTGGAATAATTTGCTAGGGAGCCTTGAGAAAAATCAGCAGCTGGGCCCTTTTTAGTCCCCCATTCAAGGCTGTAAATATAGACAGTGGATTGCACTGGGGCTCCTGGGGTCAAGGGGCCCATAAAGAGAGCAGTTACAAGTGATTCAGATTGTCACCTTGTAAATATAGGCTACCTGTGTTCAAAAAACAATGATATCAAAATATATTATCCATTTTAAAACTGTGCCATTTGCTATATATGTCCTCAAAAAGCCAAACCCATCTGTGTCATCAATAGCGTCAATAGCTAGTTAAAACATAATGATATGCTTTTTCTGTATAAGTTATAAAATCTATAAATATACTTTAAAAACTATTCAATGAAATGAATAATTTCTTATGTTCTTTGATGTTTTTGTCAGATATGCTATGATACTTGCTGGGTAATATGTATGTTGATGTTGTCCAATGTCAAGACAATACATGCATGATAGCGTGCACTAGGGCCCATCATAATAGTGTGCACTGGGGCCTGTTGTAACTTCCTTATGCCACTGCCCCCATTCCTCCCCCTCTGCAGTATGTACAGTTACAGTACAAGAATACCACCTGGCTCCAGGTTTGTGAGGGATGATGTGATAACAGACAAATTAACTGAGGAAGCCCTGTGATAGTCTGGAGACCTGCTCAATGTCAGCTGGGATAGGCTCCAGCCCAACAGATGAAAGCTCCAGATGAAAAGCACAACACACCCAAAGGCCCTCATCTTGCTTATGATGTTGGCTGATACAATGTTTAAATGAATAAAATAAAATCAACTGGTAATCCAATATGCTGCTCAGATTTAGATACTACTGGTATATAAATTAAGGATTTTAGGCATTCTGGTGTGCTTTCATTGTCATCGACCAAACTGTGGGTCAAAGAGAAGTTTAGACTTGACAGTGGCACCAAATAAAAACTGGGGGGCATTAGAATAAGAATTTTCTTCAGATGACCATAATAGCCTCACCAGATTTCATGGCACCGTTGCTGGTAATTGTGTGTGTGTGTCACTCTGGGCTTAAGTGTTGGATTAACAGACAGATGGATTGACTGACATCTCAATAGACCCTGCTGCCAGTGGGGTAATAATTTGTTGAAATCCACAGTTTGAGTTTTCAGTGTTCGATATGCTCTGAAATTGCCAATAACTTTTGAACCCGGTAATAAATAATTTCCAAAATTATAAACCTGAATTTAGTTAAGTCTACAGAGCCCCTAAAGTCACAAAAGGTGATTTTTTTAATCCTGTGGGAACAAGTTATAATCTTATAAGCACAAGATTATAACATGTTTGCACAAACTGCGCACAAAATACAAAAATATTGCTTTCCGGGACTTTAGTGGCCCTGTAACAATACTAATACTCATACTAATACTACTAATAAATTTATATATTATATGAATTTATATAACACCTTTCATACAAGAAATGCAGCATAAAGTGCTCTACAATAAGGGCAATATAGCACTAAGTGCGTCACATGAAAATAGACCTAATGAACATACAAACACAGACAAAGAAGGACAATGCAATATAAAGGACATTTAAAACTGTTTCAAATAAAGACTAACTGATTCAAAACCATAAATCTTCAAATCATAATGAAATCATGAGATGAAATAAACATAAAAAGTCTTAAAATCATGACATCATAAAACCGTAGTCCTGCAAAACCATAAATCATAAAGTCAAGTATGATAAAACACCTTAGAAAATTTGCAGCAGCGTTCAGCACAAAAAGAAAGAATTTCAGACCTGTATCAGGAAAGTCAGAGCTAGTTAAAGGCTAAAGTGAACAGATACATTTTTAGCTTTCTTTTGAAAATATTTAGCGAGCTGGCTTCCCTGATATCTATAGGTCGTGTGTTTCACAGCTTTGGGGCACAACTGACAAAGGCTGCATCCCTGATCTTCTTCCGGCTGTTGCTGGGAACCTCCAGTAAACCAGCAGCAGATGATCACAGCGTTCAAGGAGGCAAATAGTTAACAAGGGAGTTAGCAATGTAGCTTGGGCCTAGCCCATGTATGGCTTTGTATACAGGGAGGAGGAGCTTAAAATCAATTCTAAATGCAACAGGAAGCCAGTGCAGAGCACAAGGGACCATAAAAGTCCCCAGTGTATGTACATGTTTATTTTATTTTGAAATGAAACTCCTGTAATAGTCCCATATGGCCCAGTACATGTTTCTGAGTAGGATGTGGTAGAGAGGATTTTTTTTTTTTTTTCATTTAGTTTATAGCCCAAAAACATGTTTACGTGTGCAGTACCTCTTTAATGAGAGTTTGATCATCAGTGCACACTCCTACAATACTATTCATTTGGATAAAAAAAATACAGCTATGAAATCTGAAAAAATGTAATAACGTGCTAAAGTGGGAATCGAATTGAGACACAGCAAGTGTCTCCATGAGAAAGTTTGTTCACCACAGAGCACTGGCAACTTTATTTTTTAACTAAAAAATGTCCCATTCGCTCCATATCTTGGTCACAGTGCTCCAATGACTAAATTCAAACGATCCTCAGTAAATAACTGTTGCTTTATTTAGATTGAATGTATTTCTGTTTCTCTGTGTCTCTTTCAGGCATTCACAGGTCCGTTTGTTTACTGTCTCCTGCCAGTTCTCAGCAGTTCTACCATTCAGTCAGTCCTTGCCTCTATTGGCTATCTGCCCCATACTGACACTCCACAAAGGTAGGAAACAAGGAGAATGCAGATGGAGAATGCAGAACAAGAGTGACGATAGATGCTTTCGACATGAAGCGACAAGGCCTGTTCAAACAGCTGCCAGAGTGTCTCCATGTCAGGAGAATCATGCACCATATAGCACACATATCCACCTACAAACAGTGAAATTGGCCTCAACTTTAGTCAAGAGAGTAAGACTTAAAAGGCAATGTCAGAAAATCATGTCATGTCAAGAAAATGGCACCAAAGAGATAATAAGTCTAATTTAAAAGTGTTGAGTATCCTCTCTTAAGTTTGCTTTTGAAAAATAAAGGGACAAAATCTCTCTCTATCTGAATGACATAAAGATACTCTCCTTTGACCTGTTGTTTTGTATGGGCCATGTGGTCCTGGTGACGTAAACGTCGCTCTCGTGGCTGAAATTTAGCGGCCAATCCACTGAATTTGCTGGCTCTGATAACTGTCAAATGGTGTGCAGACTCTGCCTACATGGCGCACTGCAGGTGCACACCAGCATGCTAACAGTGCGGACCCACTGCTAACTCAAAAAACAGCACTAACAATAGCAACAGTGCTGACAGTCCCTGTGGGCCCAAATACCATTTCCCATTGACTTACATTGGGAAAGACATCTGTACATCAGTGGATTCAACTTTTTTTTTAACATTACAAACCCCACTCAGTTGGCAAAAGTCTCGAGTGTGCTTGCTCTGTGGGCCCAATGATGTGGTAATCTTGGTAATTTCACATCTGAGAAATAATTTTTTTTGGCTTCATGTGCTATTGAGCAACTTTCGGCAGAATGAATGAGAGCCCACCTCTATCCAGTTCTCTTTATACATCCATGATTACAACACACAGAGAAGTAGCATGACCTCATTCACATACAGCACTTTTAAAGATGAAACAGACAACTTTTCAAGTCCCCCTAGCATTTTCAAGTTGTGTTTTTGCCAGCCAGATGGCTTTCTGTTTTCCTCAGAGCCTGGCAACTATTACTGTTTATACAGTTATGTTGTTTGTTCCACCATCCGCCATTTTCACCTCTGGGGATAATAACTATGAAAACCTCATTTTAGTGTTTCCCAGACATTTGAGTTATTTGTGGCCACCCACCACAATATCAACACTGACCAGTAAGTCTTTTTCACTATTTGAATATGTGAAATCTTATTTTATTGTTGTGCTGCATGCAGTGCAGTGATTCACTCAGCCCCTCCTCACCCTGCTCTCTTTCTTAGCTAGCTAGTGCATCCTGCAGTCCGTACACCTCACTCCCTGCTGCTAGGAGACTACTTCACCAGGAGGAGAGCGGATGGTCAGCTCCTCAGGCTGGCCTTCATTTAGCAGCTGTAGCAATGTATATTCAGCTAGCACAAACCAGGGGGGTAGTGGCCACACTGAGTCTAATAAGTGTAACAACAGCAACAGAAAGTTTGCTAATCTGACAGGGAGTTGGGGTGGTAAATGTGCCAGTAATTTAGCCTTAATTTTCCTGAATTGAAACATCCAAAAAATGTCGGCAGTGAGTTGGGGGAAAAATTTAGAGGTTGCTCTAAAAAAATCAGCAGTGAACTTTTAGGCACTGGAGAAAGATGTCAAACATGCTGGATTCAAGCCAGCTTCTGTCATCTGTGCGAGGGCCATTTGGTCTTCCCTTCTCATCACTTTTTGTCTGGTCCTCTACACTGTTTGATGTATTTCAGTGAATACAGACTGAGTGAGGATGCTAATCCAGAAAGAGCCATGCTGCTGGGCTTTGAGCTGCTGCTGGCCAGGGTGGAGTGTTACCGACTCCTGGAGCTCCTGGAGAAGGATCAGCTGGGACCACAGGTGAGATCAGAAATCATGCAACCACAATAACCAAACTTACATAACCATAGTAACAGCAGCTGATTATACTACAGTATATTATGTAGTGTTTGGCTGTATTAAAGCCCCTGGAACAATCCTGATAAAAACTGGTGCAGTTAATGTGTTTCTGTGTTCTGGGGTCTGATCTGAGGGCCTTGCATGGCTGTCTGCTGCAGTTTTTATCCTAAACAAAGTGTCATCTCTTTTCAAAGAGATGAAAACAAAGAAAGTAACATGCATAACGAGGACACAAAACCAGAATCTTGTTATTAAAGAAAATCAAAGGAAGATATAGTTCCAGGCTGCAATGAGCAGAATCCAAGTACAGCTGTGACAGAGGTTGACGTTCAAAAAAGGAATTCAATGAAAAGAAACATCAAACATTTGGCTCGTAATATTGAATTACTTTTGTCTTCAAACAACGATAGAATTCACAGCATGAGCGTAGCTTATCACCATGGTACACAAACACGCCATACTGATAGTGATACTGAGTCTTTTCCTGCCCTCCACCCAACACATATATGCAAATGAACAGCAGCCATAGGACATGGCCAAGGGTCACAATAACTCTTATCATTGAATGGCTTTTATGTGACAGCTGTGATCTTCTACTGCAGGAGTGGCTGGAGGTTCTTCAGAGGAGAATGGAGCCTACAAAACAGGAGGAAACCACAGAAAAGAAGACACCAGTAGAGCAAAAGGAAGGGGAGGAGGAGAAGAAGAAGAAGGAAGAGGCACATAGAAAAGAGGTAGGGCAGAGTGCCGATGGCTGGTTGACTGTGCTGAGAAGGACAAGAAAAAGAAAAAGGAGCTGACAGCAAAGCAGTGCCACCAGAGAGAAGTAATTATCAAACAGTGTGGTTTCATGCACGCATCAACAGATGTTTCAACATCAAAACCTTCCTGCTATGAGAACTGTAATAGAGCGTCCACCCACCCATCAAGGATATCTCAAGAACACCTCAAGGGAATTTCTTTAAAATTGGCACAAATGTCCACTTTGAGTCAAAAATAACTGTGTTACTGTGACCTCAAAGGTCAACTTCACTGTGACATCATAATATTCTGCAATGAAACACATTGCTGGCTATTACTCAATGTCATATCTCAGGAACAGATGGGGAGACATTTGGTCAGATACTTAAATGTTGACACTAATCTTGAAACTGAGCTGACTGTATAGATATTTGTGTTGCTGGTGAGAAGATATGTGTGAAGCATCCATGTTTTCAAAGACATGAATGTAAGGTGTAGGAGAAACTTGACCGGTGTGCAGAGGCATACAACCGTGATGCGATAATTCTAGTCTTTACCTTAGAATGGGCAAATAACTATATACAGAGCGGGTCCTCTTCCACAAAGTTTGTCATGCTGTTCTTACAGTAGCCCAGACCAGACAAACCAAACACTGGCTCTAGAAGGGCTTGTTTGCCCTTTCCTGCTGGCCACTGTAGTTGCCCTACATGCTTGGGACACGAGAAATTTCGGTTCTGCAACCGAACTGTTGTTGTTGTTGTTGTTGTTTATCTGTTTTCTTTTAAACCTGATGATTTTATGACTTTGGATCTTGAAAAGTTCTGTGTTATTGTTATTGTTATATATGTGTAATGGTTTATATGCTGATTATGATTCAAGATGTTAATTGTCACTCCAGATAAACAAGTATAATCATGTGAAATATTTTCTCTGAGAGGCTCCATTGAAGAAAAAACTGGAAAGAGTTAATATAAAAATAAAAATGTAAAATATCATAACAGAATTACCACATAAGAAGCAATAAGGACATGTGTTTTTGAAAAATATACATTGTAGGCAAAGATACAGCTTAAGAATCACTTCTCAATTCAGTAAACACTTTGATATTGACTTGTGCTTTGAGGTTGTTACAACTGATTCAGACTGTGGATGTGTAATGTGATAAAAAATAGTTGATTTAAATGTTGCTGTTGCAAGGAATTGTGGGGCAGCATTATCTCCTTTCCTTACATAAAGCATCAGCAAAGGCGCAAAAAGGAAGTGTTTATATTTCACAATAAATGTCCAGTTTAAGTCACACAAATGAACAAGTTCATCTGCAGGTTACCCGTGGTCCCTACAGAGCACAGCTTGATATGACAGACTAAAGAAGCAGGTCAGTTGCACTCTCCACTGACCTCAGCTCTGTTTTGTTTCTCCAGGTACCTCTGTTTTTGGACATCAGGAGTGAAAGTACAGTGACACCCCAGCCCAAGCCTCGACACTGCCATCTCAGCAGTGTAGACCAGTCCATTATGGAGATGCAGATGATCTACCCTGACCTGGCCATCAGGGGCCGCCCCCTGCTACCGGACAAACCTCAACGAGCAAACAGCAGCAGGAGCAGCAGCAGTAAAGATGTTCATATTACTAGCGCTCATAATTACAGTGATGACAACACAGCTGCTGACCTCTGCAAAAGAAATTCTGTTAAAGACACCAAAGCTGCTGCTTCAGCTATCCAAAGTAAAACTGATGAAGTGCTTGGTGACAATGGCAGAGACAGTGGTTGTAATGACAGAAACAGTGGTGGGGCCACTGCCCCAGGAGACACCATTAGCAGCAGCATCAGTGACACTGATGGTGGCAGAGTTGATGATGAGCTCAGTGGTCCTCAGGCCATTTCCTTGCACATCACACTGAGAGCTGGATCCAAAGCAGAGCAGAACGTGGAGCCTGGAGAGCCTCAGCCCATAGCAGAGCCTCCTGTCAGGACACACCAGCAGACTGTGGCAGGTAACACACACACATGCATGCACAGTTTGGGTGTCATTCTCTTAAATTTCTTTTTATTTTCTGTTAAGAGAAAAAAGTAGAGATGCACCAAACATTCATTACCATCTTAATCTGCTCTGTGCTAGATTATGAATCCCATTTGATCATAAGTCACCTATTAGCATAGGTGATGGCCCCTAAACACTATTCAAGGGCAGGTGTGCAAAGACTCTGGCACATGCCCCAAGTATTGTAGAGATACCACCAAAAAAGGCTGTAAGAAGAAGAACATCTGCAGTAGTGAAATCAATATAAAGTTAAATAAACCTAAAGTAAATTTGATTTGTGAGCGTTATTGGTGTTACAAGAAAATCACAAACCCAGAACTAAACAGCATTTGTGATGCTGTAAATGCTGTGTCAGCAACAGTGGTGGAGGAGGTATTCAGATCCTACTAGCAAGAAGTACAAATACCATCCCTGTAAAAAAAACTTTGTTATTAGTAAAAGTCCTGTATTGAAAATGTTAATTAAGTAAAAAATTAAAGAAATGTATTTAAGTATTAAAAGTAAAAGCACTCTGTGAAAAAAAAATCAATTTAATAAATCAAAACGATTAACAGGAAAAGCAGCAAGTAGTTGCCAATTAGTTTTCTAATCAATCGACTAATCATTTCAGGTGTACTTGAATATTTCTGTAGGTTTGTGAGCAAAAGTCTTAATTTGTAAAATGACTAATAACTTAAGTTATTATATATATGTATAGTTGAGTAGAAGTAGAAAGTGGTATGAGGTTTAAATACTTAAGTAAAGTAGAAGTACCTCAATTTGTTTTTTAGTACAGTAGTTGAGTAAATGTACTTAGTGACATTGCAGCACTGGTCAGCAGAGGGATGCACAGTAACTGAAATTACAGTAACTGGGATCAGAATTGAATAATCCAATCATTATAATTACTCTATAACATGTAATAATCTAAATCTGATTGTATGAAATTCATGCATTTTTTTTAAATGTACCTCGAATTTAAAACTTGTTTCTTCTCGTTGGACAACAATTTGTGGACTGTGAAAATGAGATCTTATTCTCTTATCTTGCTAAAAGTGCTCTTGACCACTCATGAAATTTTCTCTTAACTAAGAGAAGAGCAAAAATAAGAAAATAATTGTTTGTGTATTACTACCAAAAATGTCATTCTTATTATTATTCTTTTAGTGTCAGAATAAGCAGAGCACAGCAGCTGTGTGATGATGGTCTGACGGCTTGGTCCTAGGCTAATGTTTGGGCTAATAAGTTCTACAAAACTAAACATAAATTATCCCCATCACTCACCAACAGCTACATGAGACATCATTGCTATTTTCATGCCCAGTACATTATATGTGTGGACTATGATCTGCTGTGTAAAACATCAATCAAAATGATCTAAGGCAGTGGTTTCCAACAAAGTCCAGTTTTGTCTTTCATCATTAGTTCAAGGTCCACACAGTTTAACTGATCAGTGTCATACCTGTGTTTGGCCATATGGTCAAGCTAGATTGCTGTCTCTGTCAAGTGGCTGTCCATTAGTCACTCACCCTTTAAAATGCAGCTCTGTGCTGGAAATTGACTGCACTTCAAAATGAAGAATTTTTTTATCATTATTATTTTTTTTTTTTACAAACTTGACACATTTGCAAGTCACTTGCAGGTCTATTCAGAATAAACCTGCAACCCATTCTTGTGGCATGACCCACCAGTTGGGAACCAGTGGTCTAAATTACATAATTTCAGGTAATATATGCAATAAATTTCAAACACATTGTGCACCGAATGGCAGAAAAAGCTGTAGCTCTAATTTTTGTCCAATGAAAGAGGAGTCCATTCCATCAGAAGTGAGCAAAAATCACCTTTCACAGTAATTTTGTAATAATGTAGTAGTTAATGGATAAAGCAGAGAGAGAACCACATATGTTTAAAGGATAGCTATACACTGTGTGGCAAAATGTCTGTCTATTATCATATTACCATATATTATGTTTTATTTCCCAATGTTCTTTGCCATAGAAAGCTATTGTTTTGTTACTTCCTGTACTGACTGTTCTGCTTCAGTTTGATTATAAAACTGTAATTCACAGAGCTACAAAATAAGAAACCAGAAAACCCAAAGCTCTCCTCTCTGAGCTCCATGGACGAGGCACAGGAGCTGAGAGAGCTGGCAGAGAGGATGGGCCAGCTCCATGTGCAGGAGACCAAAGAGGAAGTGAAGACAAAAGAAGAAAATAAAAGAGGAGAGGAAAACACAAATAAAGAGAGGAGGAAGAAAGGAAGAAAGGTAAGCACAGAGAAAGAGGCAGAGGAACAGAGCCTCAGGAAGCCAGTGATGGAGACTGGTCCAGCGCTGACCCACTCTGCCAGTAGATACACCAGATCGTCTCAGTCTGATCCTGCGGTGATGAAAGAGCAGAAGCAGCCCACTGTGTGTCATCGTTCACCGCTGACCATCAGTACAGCAGACTGTCAGAGCTGTAAAGGAGGAGGCAGCACAGGGCAGCAGGAGGGAGAAGATACTGTGAGAGCAGAAACAGGCAGAGGAGAGGAGGAGCAGCTGGCACAAAGCTTTGTTATAGTCGAGCATCACAAGAAATAACATGCTCTCAAGCTTCATTTACATGTATAGAAATTATTAATGAAACTGCTGAGCAAGCCCCAAACTGATACAAACTGTAATCAACCGGTAAGCCAAGATTTAACAACACACAGGTACAGATTTAAAGAGCAGAACAAGATTTTAATGCACATCATAATTTTATCCACACTGCGTTTGAAATATGTTCTACCTATTCTCAGGGATATCCTCAGCTGCTCTGGCTGCATAGTAACAAGTAAGAGATAACAGGACATACCCATATATGGCTGTTAAAGGAATACTTCACCCAAAAAATGTTTATTAGTGTATCAGTAATTCACCGTGTGTTGCCTTGAATTCATGAAGAAAACTATGTTTTCCTTGCATGCCTCCACGGTGAATGGAGAATCCAAAAAAGGTAAATATTCTTCATGAATTGAAGTAAACAGGATCCACATTTTACAACAGCAATACTACATCAACACACCCATTAACAAGCATTCACACAAGTTGTGTGGTACAGGTCTCATTATCAAGTCGTGTCCTCAGTATTTCCCAAACACATGCATTTTTGCTAAAACAATACAATTTTCTGGCCATTATTAAGTGTCATATCTCAGGAACAGATATTTGTTCATAGACATAATTAGTGACACGAATTTTGGGTGTCCACCTTGAAACTGTGCTGATTGTAAAGAGTTTCTGTGCTGCTGGGGGAAAGATGTGTGTGAAGCATCCATGTTTTCACAGACATGGGCTGTAAGAGAAACTTGACTGGTGCGCAGAGGCATACAACTGTGGGGCAGTAATTCTAGTTGGATTCTCCGTTCACTGTGGTTGTCTTCACAAATTCAACGTGACATGCTGTAATTTATATACAAATGGTCATTTTGTGGGTGAAGTACTCTTTTAAGTTGCGTTCAAACCTCTGTTTTATTCCAACTTGGGAGCGTTCACACAGTATTCCAAGATGATTACCTCCCTGCCAGCCCTGTAGTCTCTCCAGATAAATAATCTGTGAAAACCAGATACAGACAGATAAACATATCCTGTTTAATAAGCTGAAATGGAATTGGGTTTTATTTTGGTGTCACTGCTAGCACTTCTGTAGTTGTTTTCACCATATGGAAAATATAGCTGTCAGAAATTTCCCCAAATCTTAGACTCTGAATTACAAGTAAGAGACTGATGTAAATGTTTTTCCCCACTTGGCTGCTTGTAATGATATGATGTGAACATGCCATTAGGCTAATTTCTTTTTCGCTGTTTAAAGCCCTTAATCTTTATTTTATCATGAAAAGATTATTTTTTGAGTGTTTTTTGCCTTTAATTATAGTATAACTGAAGACTGACAGGAAAGTTGGGTGAGAGAGGGGGATGGCACCCAGCAAAGGGCTGCAGGTTGGAACTGAACCTGGGCTGCTGCAAAGGCCTATATGTGGTGCACATGCTAACAGGTGAGCAAGCTATTTTATCATAAATTGCAGGTATATGTATATGCAGTATGTAACTGAAGAGTTGTAAATGAAAAAAAAAAACAACAACAGCATTTTGTGTGTTCTCCACCAAATATAACTGAAAATATAGGTTGGTTTACTCAAGTACCCATTTGCTTTTAGTCTGTGTATTAGAACACCAGTTAATTTGAGACTAAATAGTGTGATTTAAACTTTAATGGAGGGGTAACCCTTTTATATGTTCACATTATGTCCCCTGAATGATTCCGTATATATGCTCTGGTTGCTTGCTTTTCTCACTAGTTTGAAGTGGGTGGGGCTTATTTGAAAAAAGGAAATGTTCCCATTCGTCCATGCACCAGTCACAGTTCAGCAACATTTGAATTAGATTCTGATAAGAGCTGTGTGGTTGTCGAAGCAGATTAGTAGAGGTTTGGGTGTTATAAATATGAAGGATGTTTTTTCTGACATTTAACATTGAATGTTGTTTTATTTGTTATGATGTTCATTTACTGTTATGTAGAAATAAAGTGAGGTCCAGAGGTCTGAGTCCACTGGCCAAGATACATATATTTTGTTGTTTTGTTTTATCTTTGTTTTGTTTTGAATGTAACACTATTCCTTTTTCATTACAAATGATAATATCAGCTTCATTTGAAATGTAGAATCTTTGAAAAATGTACATGAAGTTTATATGTGGTACAGAGTGTCCCCATTTTGCTTTAATGACAGCATGCAGTCAAGCTGGTGTTGACTCCACAAGTTTGTGCAAAACCTAGCAGCATGATTCGACGATGTTCCAAAGAGCTTCTTGTGATGTCACCGAATGCTTGGGTTTTTCAGTCTTTAAGTGTGCCCATAAATGTTCAGTGGGATTGAGGTCAGGTAACTGTGGAGGAAAGTCCATGACTGCCAAGACTCCTTGATCTTCTTTGGTCTACATGCTTAATGGAATGGGCTGCACATGTAGAGCACCTTTCTAGACTTCTGACCACTCAGAGCCCGGGTGATTGTATTTTGGTATCTTTTATTTCTACAGGTTAGATTTGGTTGTTTTAAGTTAGAGGTATTTTAGGTTTTGTTATTTTGGCTTTTTACCCACTCTGAATCGATGTAACGTACTAGTATGTTCATACAGTATATAACTGCTAATAAATCTGATTGTTTGCACTTTAGTTAGTTGTCTCTGTGGCTGCTTGGGGACTTGGGGAAAATGGGGCCTTAGTTCATGTTATTTCTCAGTCACCCCCAGATGGGACGTAACATTAGGGACCAACAATTTCAAAATATAAACGACTCTACATGATATGTTTCATGTTTTTATTTTAGAAACTCCGTTCTGACCTGCCTGCATGTTTGAAAAATAGTATAATAAAAATCCAGCCTCGTGTTGTAGACCTATTATGAATCCCATGGTGTCATTTGTTGTTGGAGTTTAAATATCTGAGAAAACAAACACCCAAAAAAATCCTTACTACCACCTGCAGCAGCTCTACGCCCTCCTGGGGGGCCCCGCCCCACAGTTTCAGAACCACTGACCTATGTACACCACACAGGGCACACCTCTTTGTGTTTTTTTCTACAAAAAATGAACAAAACATTTAATGGCTTTACACACCAGGGATAAAACAAAAATATTGTTTGGGGTCCGCCCCCAAGACATTTTCAGTGTCAAACACATCATTTCCTGCATTCTGGTGAATGTCAGTGTACTAATTTGTGTCTTTTCTGCATCAATTTATGGTGAAAATGTCTTCATGTACAGGAAAACACAAAATTCAGGTGCCCGATGGCAATTCAAAACATAAAAGTATAATGGAGTATAATGCAGTAAGGCTTTCAGGCATACAGTATCACTTTCAAATATTTATTTTCCTGTAGGTAAGCTTTTCTAATTTATTGTCATCCCTGCTGATTCAAGGTGATTTACTCTTCTTTTGTGTCTTTTGTTTGGGGGAAGTAACCTCTTTAAATGTGCATGTGGCACCTATTCACATCATTGGCACATTAACAGGCATTGGATTAACCAATCACAGGGCCCCTGGGCATTTGCTGTTTGGATGCTATTATAAACTTTATTATGCAAACAAATAACACTCCTAAGCTTTATTAATACTACCTGCCTAGAGGTTTCTGTGTCTTACTTAGTCTGTTGTACTTTGATTGAATGCCACTTTCTTAATTAATTTGAAATAATGAAGGTCCTTAAATTCAGTCTTGGAACAGGGCTCTTCTGCAAGACAAGGTCACAAGGTCCTCCTACATCAAAGAAATAAATGATCTCTCTGATGACAAATCATTGTTGGTCTCCTTAACAGAGATTTAAAAAACAATGATAAAGACAAAATTGCAATGTGTGCAGGGATTTTTTAAAAATTGCTCTCAGCCTGTGGGAACATATTCCTTTTGGCTGGACCACAGAGGCAAGGCCAGCCCTGAAAACGAGAAACTGTCTGTGACTGAGTGAGTAATAAAGTTACACCACTGGTTAAGAGTGAGTGATGACACGAGTGATGGTGTGACCAGAGGCCTTTAATAGATAGTCATGTCATTTCTGTTGATTCCAATAGACTTTTTTTTTTCTTACAGCAATAGCAGATCATGGAGCCTCTCATTAGTTCCCTGAGGTAAGCAGTACATGCTAGCACCACTAGCATGGATGCATTTATATGATTATTCTCAGCTTTCAGAATGCATGAATAAATAACAATATCAAAATGGAGTTTCATTTTGTTTCATTACCTTTACTGAAAAACTAGCAACATATTCTCTAATAATCAACACTGTTGAAGCACTAGTTAACTTATTTTCATACAAGACTTTCAACCATGCCATTTATTTGGAGAAAGCCTAATAAAGTTTAAACTGCAATTATGTACTGTATATCTAAAGCAGTTGTGGAGACGTGTGCAAAACAAGCTGATGTCGGTAACACTTTACAATAAGGTACACAAAATTAGAGTAGTTAATGAGGAACTAATGAGTAGTTACTGAGGAACTAATGAGGAACTAATGAGGAACTAAGGTACACAAAATGAGAGTAGTTACTGAGGAACTAATGAGGAACGAATGAGGAACTAATGAGTAGTTACTGAGGAACTAATGAGGAACGAATGAGGAACTAACTATTAGTTAATGGTCAGTTCCTCAGTAACTCATGATCAAATTTCAGGAGTAGTTACTGAGGAACTTATGAGGAACTATTGAGTAGTTACTGAGGAACTAAGGTACACAAAATTAGAGTAGTTACTGAGGAACTAATGAAGAACGAATGAGGAACTAATGATGAACTATTAGTTAATGGTCAGTTCTTCATTAACTCATGATCAAATTTCATAGAGGGGCTAATCACGACTTAATAATTAGTGAACTAGTTACTTCATCAGTACAGAATCATTACTCAATAACCCATCCATTAGTTAACCTTTTTATGTCCTAAAGTAAAGTGACACATAATAAGTAGTCTTTCATTACATTATCATCATCTTTACAATTAGTTCATTAACAAATAAAATCACAGACAGCAGGATTCTTGAGAAGAGTTTAATTAATTATTTTCAGACCACATACACATTAATATGACCATCCATGTTATTCTGTACAAGGTGCTGACACACCAAACCGACATCAAAGAACTAGCGGCAACAAAAGCCAACTGTTGCATCGTCTACGTCGCCTCACGTCACCCTGTGTCAGTTGCATTTGAACACACCACAAAGACTACACCCAACGCTTGAAACTGTTACTCATTTATTTTGGCACTGCCCCATTGTCAAAAGACTCTGGAGTGATATTTGTAATTTTATTGCGGACAATATTAAAAAATAATTTAAGCTGTTTTGGAGGGATGTGCTGTTTGGACTTTTTGACTTTAACAGAAATATGGCAAAACCCATTGAAAGATTTATTATTAATCTCATCTTACTTTTGGCAAGATTTCACATTCACAAATGTAAGTTTACACATAGAAAACATTTTATATTTTTAATATTTTCTTGTAAACTCTTATCCCCCCTGGCCCCTGTTATATGACATATATGTGTAATGTTGAAGATCTGCATTCTGTAAACTTCCTGTCTTAAATAAAGTTGTGGGGGAAAAAAAGAAGACTACATCCGACGGCCAAGTAGCACATACGTTCTGCGCCTGCGTGAAAGGAAATAACGCAAAAAGGGAAACCGGAAGTCCGTTGAATGCATGAGA